AGGAGGAGGAGGAGGAGAAGAAGAAGAAGAATAAGACGAACAATAATAATAATAATAATACTAAGAAGAAGAAGACGAAGACGAAGACAAAGACGAATATGAAGAAGAATAATAATAAGAAGAAGACGACGAATACGAAGAATAAGAAGAAGAAAAATAATCATAATAAGAAGAATAATAATGATAATAATAATAATAATAATAAGAAGAAGAAGAAGAAGAAGAAGACGACGACGACGAAGAATAATAAGAAGAATAATAATAAGAATAAGCATAATAATAAGAAGAAGAAGATGAAGAATAAGAAGAAGAAGACGAATAATAATAAGTAATAATAATAATAATAAGAATAAGAATAAGAAGAAGAAGACGAATGATAAGAATTATAATAAGAAGAATAATAAGAATAATAAGAAGAATAATAATAAGAAGAAAAGAAGAATAATAAGAATAAGAAGAGGAGGAGGAGGAGGAGGAGGAGGAAAAGGAGGAGGAGGAGGAGGAGGAGGAGGAGGAGGCGGCGGCGGCGGCGGCGGCGGCGGCGGCGGCGGAGGCGGAGACGGAGGCGGAGGCGGAGGCGGAGGCGGCGGCGGAGGAGGAGGAGGAGGAGGAGGAGGAGGAGGAGGAGGAGGAGGAGGCTCTCGAGTGCCCCGGCGGGGGCCACTACATGGCCGAGAGAGCGGGCCTTCCTCCGACCACCCGCGGGACGGGCCGAGGCCGGGGGTTGCCGGAGGTTGTCCTGGGCGCAGGGTGCCCCCGGCCTCGCGCGCCATCATGGAGCCCCTCTCCAGGGGGCCCTCTGGGCCTCTCGCTGGGCATCGCTCAGCCACGTGCATGCTTTCCTCGGCGAGGACCATCGTGGAGCATCCTGGATCCTCGCGGGGAGAACACACGCACGAAGTCGAACAGTGCACAGGGAGTGGACGTCCGATCGAGGGCCAGCTGGAGGAGTGCGCTCTGGGGGCCGTCCAGGTCTCCCTGGACAGGCTGGGGATCATCTGGGGCCCCCCGTCGCCCTTTTCGGCAACCGCCGACGAGGGAGGCGGATCGGGGGGTGGGCCCCCAGACCAGGGCTGGACCTAAACGCTGTTTTGCTAGACTTCGGCTGTGTTTTGTTCTTCGTTTTGGCAGGGAGGGACAGTAGAGTGGGTAGAGCAAAACGAAAGACAGAACGAAAACAAAACGGAAAACAGCGTTTTGGTCCAGCCCTGGTGGGCCCCCAGACATCCCACGAGGATTTGTTGTTCGTGCGCGGGTCCAGAGTTTCCGGCCCTAGCCCCGCCTGGGCAGTGTTTCGTCCCATGTCCATGAGTGGCCCCAGTACCAGTCATTTGCCACAATTTTCTTTAATAGTGTTTGCGCTTCGAGTTCCTCACTTGTCTTTCGAATGAGTTGGACAGTTGTCTCGGGTTTTCACTCAATGCCCGCCCGTTGGCGCCTCGTGCTTGGAGTGTTCCCTGGGTTTTTTCCCGGTTCCGCCAGTGCCCGCTCGTGGGCGCCTCGAGGGCGATTCGTGCTGCCTACCACAAAACTTGCACCACATAGATTGCACCCACATTGCGCCACAAATATTGCGCCACATAGTTATAGTTTACACTGAGCAGCTTGCACTCACAGCCAGCACGGTATAGCCTGCAGCAAATAGCTTACGACACAAATCTGGCACCACATCGTGTTCCCCACAGCTTGCGCCTCGAAGCTTGCACCACATACCTCTCACTACATGCACTTCATCACAAATATTACTGGCACATAACGCACCTCGTAGTCCATAACACACAGCTTGCACTACACCGCTTGCACCACGTATCTGACATAACAGCTTGCACTACTAAACTATTCAGAACTTGCACCACCTAGCTTGCATCACACAGCCTTGCACCAACTTGTACTACCTAGCTTGCACCACACAGCCTTGCATCACCTAGCGTGCATTGTCCAGTAGCGCACGGTCTACAGGGAGGCGGTGAAGCGCATCCCCCGCCGATCCTCGGGGGCCCAGGGCAAAGTTCAGCAGGCGAGACAGAGAGAGAAAGAAAGGGAGAGAGAAGCAGCCATACTTTGGGGCCGCGTGGCAGGCGGATGGACGGCAGCCTTGGGCGCCGCCGGTTTCGTCACGTACAGGCGCCTCAACAGCTTTGAGGAGCGCAGTCTCCCCCGTCCCCCTCCCACCGCGCGGGATGGGGGAGGTCGGACCAGGTGAGTGTAGAAAGGGATTGCAGGAGGAGGAGGAGGAAGAGGGGGAAGAGGGGAGGGGGGAGGAGGCGGAGCAGGTGGTGGAATGACCAGAGGCACCCCAGCCTGAATCACTCCTGCTTCAATACGCCCCTCCTGTCGTAACTCAACGAGCGCACTTCTGTTTTCGTTATAGCGAACGCCCGCTAGACTGGTGATGAGTGATGACCCCATGGACCTCGTCCTGCACGTCCTCCGATCTGTTCCCGTCTCCGATTCCGCCTTCTCTCAAAGAGTGGACAAACGCCGCGTTGTTAAGATCGTGATAAGTAGTTATTAAAGGAACATGCATAATGCATAAGGTAACAATAAGGACGATGTAATGGAATGTGACCATGTGGAGAAGGATGTAGGACGAGGAGGAGATTGCTGGAGGGGGAGGGGGAGAAGGATGAGGTTGTTCAGGAGGATGGGCGAGGAGGGGGAACGGTGCTGTCGACGTCTTAGCCAGCCTTCCTGCGATTCTCCAGCTGGCCCCGATTATCCCATCTTCTTCTTCTCTTGCAGGAATCGCTTTGTTCACTCGGCCGGCCCATGTAGCACCGCCAGAACTTGCTCGCGGTCGCGGGGACGCTTTTGAGGCCTTCTGGGGCCTTTTGGTAGCCCTCGAGGTCTTTTGGAAGGGGGTCTTTGGGATCTCTGGGCCTCTGTGGGAGCTTTCCGAAGATTCTCGTGAGGGCGTCTTCGAGGCTGTGTTGGAGGATTGTCTGGTAGCATCGCTGGCACTTGCCTGTGCTCGCGGGGGCGCTTTTGAGGCCTCCTGGGGCCTCCTGGGAGCCTCCTGGGGTCTCTTGGGGGTATCCGGGAGGCCTACGAGGGCCTCTTGGAGGTCTCTTAAGGCTCTCTTGGGGGCTTTCTGGCGTTCTGGGGGCCATCTGCCGGGAATTGTTCGCAATTCCACTCAGGGTTCCCCCTTTTCGAACCCTTTTGAGGGGTTCGGAGCCTTCGTGGGAGGCCTCTGGGGCCGTCTTGGGACCTTCGTGTGCCGTCTCGTGGCCGTCCTGGCTTGAATTGTAGCAATCTCGGGGGGCTGAACGGGCCGTCGAGGGCGGTCGGAAGACTGAACGCGCGGTAGCGCCAATTCTTGATCAATTATTCCGACGGTTGGACCCCGCATGAGAATCCCTCAAACGAATCTGGAAGTAATTTTAAGTCGGGCAGGTCCTTCTACAGGAGGAGCTTTAATAGTAATACATAAACAGGTGACGGCTGTTCGTGCTTTTTTGAGTATTGCTTCGCCCCCTGCCGCCGGCCCCCTTTCTCGGATAATGGGCCATGCAAGAGTGAAATCATGAGGACTTGGCGCCGCCGTGAAGCAGCGTCGGGACTTCACGCGAAGGCGATGAGTAATCGGCAAAACAAATCGAGATTATGATGATATTGTTGAATTCGGTGTTGTATTTCGAGCTTGCTCGCGTATGCTGTGCAACAAGATGTTCTACGAAGTATTGAAATGTGACAAATCCCTTGTGTTTGTAGACCCTGACCCCGCCGATCTTCGTGAGGGAGGCCACCGAATTGCAAGACATGTGGCAACTCCCATGTTTTTGTTCGACCCTGACTCCGCCGATCTGCAAGAGGGGTGCCACCGAATTTCAGAAATGTGGCAAATCCCTTGATGTTTTTGGACCCTGACCCCGCCGATCTGCGTGAGGGGTGCCACCGAATTTTTCAAATGTTGTAAATCCAATATGTTTTTCGACTCCGACCCCGCCGATCTGCGTGAGGGGTGCCACCGAATTTCAGAAATGTGGCAAATCCCTTGTGTTTTTAGACCCTGACCCAGCCGATCTGCGTGAGAGGTGCCACCGAATTTCAGAGATGTTGCACATCCTATGCGTTTTTGGACCCTGACCCCGCCGATCTGCGTGAGGGGTGTTAATTTCGACCCCCCTCAGAAATTCTAAGACCCCTTCCGGGAGGTGCCAACCAGGGCGGTTTTCGGCTCCCCCCCCTCGCGCGGTCTACAACAAGGAACAGTAAGCAATAAGAAGCAGAACTGTCACAGTGGAAACTGGAAACTGGAACTGGCGCAGGGAACAGCAAATCCTCGTCCTGCAGCCTGGTGGCCCCGCAAGGGGGCCGGCGGATTGTTTTTATAGGCGATGAATTTGTTCTGTCTCCCAAAGTCCGCATGTAGGGGGACATGCCTGACCTAAAGGAGTCCTCATTGTTTCAGTCAGGATACTCACCTCGGATTACAAATGACGCTCGACAGGGGAACGAGGCCCCCGCTCTAGTATTCTGAAAGTTTCAGGCTCCCAGGTGTCAGGCTCGCACGTGTCGCCCGTGCTTTTACGTGGTACTCTGGTGGCCGCCTCGGCATGTCTGGGCCTCGACGACGACCAGCGCCGGGGCCGGGCCCCACCTCCCGCGAAGCAGGAGCGGGGCCCCTGCGTGCGCGAGGCTGTGGAGCTGCTGGCCGCTTCCAGCGCGGTGCGGCAGACGCTGGGCGGGCCTGCTTTGTTGTCCTTCCGCTGGGCGTCGGCCTTGGCGCCGGTCGTCTCCGAGGCCCAGACATGCTCGCGGCCTGAAAAATGAGGACGGCGGTTTTCCTCCACGTGTTCGGCCTCAGGGGGCGTTTGCTGGGCCCCTGGACCATCGAAAATCGACTCGGGGTGAAAAGCCGGTCCTGGGGAAAGGGTCGGGACTTCCGGAGAGCCCGCATTGAAAGAAACAGACCATCGCATGTCTGGGCACGGTTTTTTCTCCAATCGCCAGCGATCACGGGCGAGACGCGGGGGACAGGGGTGGACACGTCACAGATTCGCGCTGGCGCCGCCTGGGTAGCTTAGGAAAAACAATGTCCCAGACGGCGCCGGCGCGAATCGTGACGTGACACCCGTGGGTTCGGGGGAGGGCGGGTCTGGTCAGTGGTAAAATTGCGAATGTTTAACAAAAAGTGGTCGGTGGCTATGTCGGACAATTCAGCAATTGACGAGTACATTGAACGCAGGTGTGCTTGTGGCGCTAATTCATATGCGTATTCAGCTTCGGCGTTTCCCACCTACTTAGGAAAGGTGCGCTCCCGGAGGCCAGCGCGTTCAGCGCGCCTGCGCCATTGCAGGGTCGAATCGTGGCGACGGCAACCTCGTGTGTTCGTTTCCGTTCCGCTGGGCGTCGCCATTGAGAAGTTCGAGGAAGAAACACCTGCGTAGATACAAACTTCCTGAACTCTGCACGGGTTTCTTGGATCGTCGCTGGGGTTCCCCTGTCGGCTCCTCCAGCGCCGTGCCCAGCGCCAGTCCAAGAAATCCGCGCGCAGCTCCGAAGGGTAATGTTCAGCTTCTTGTGCGTCTGCAACGACCCGATGCAATCATCGAGGGTCGATGTTCGTGGTTTTCTGTGGTTTGGTTCCAGAGCGCTATGAAACGGTTCTGTGGGGAGTCAGTGTCGAAGCGTCGTCGGCGTCGGCGGTCGGCTTCGGCGTCGACGTCGGCGGCGTCGTGGGCGCGTCGGCGTCGGCGTGGTCGGCCTCATCTGCCCGCGCCCCTGCGGCGGGCAGGCGGCAGCGGCCTGCGGGTGGCCTGGTGGCCAAGGGAGTGCCAGGTGCGCCCTCCCCCCCACCCTGGGAGGAGCAGGAGGAGGAGCAGGAATAGGAGCAGGAGGAGGAGGAGCAGGTGTTGCGCCGTAGCCATGTTGGTTCAAGCCTTCTTGGCTCAAGTTGCCATCTCCCAAGTCAACTGGCCTGGGTAGCATTTCCTCGTGTCCCCAGTTTGCGTGGTCGGATGACCGTGGCTGAAAGTCTTCAGACTGAGGGACCTTTTCCCTCACTGTCACGATCCTTCGCACCACTCAGCGGGGCCCGCACCTGCAGCACATGGGGCGCGATGGACGTGGGTGGAATGACCTCAGGAAGTCGTTAGGTTTGACCCCCCTCTACTCTCGGCGGTGAAGGGACTTGTCCTAGAACCTCTTCGTCGCGGCGGACATTATTTTCCCTCGATTGTTGGGCAGGCTGCGTAATGATGGGGGGCTCTCTCCTCCAGGGAATAATGCCCCCTTGGCTGCCCTGCGCGACAGGAATGTTGAGCACGCTCGTAAGAGGAGCGCAATACAGAAAGGCACACTATTCGTCGAACAAGTTGGTCGCGGTCTTTCTCTGGATGGAGCTCCAACGATCTTTTTCAGGATGGGACTCTTTAGTATGAAACATCAGATGATCAAGTTTAGGAGCCAAGATGTTCCATGGGAGCGCTCCTGAGGTGTAGTGACGCATAGTCGTCGCAGTCGTAGTCGCTATCGTCGTCTTAGCTGTCGGCGTCGTTGTTGCGCGGCGGGTGCCGCGGGGAGAACATGCTTAGTTGCCCTTGCCAGTTGGACAGCAGTTCCTGAATAAGGCCTCCGAAACATAATCATACCTTATTGGGGGTTCAAAGATACCTTTAGAGGCGATGTCCCATATTCTCAAGTGGAGATTCGGAGAAGGGGATCGAATGGCCCGAGTATGCGGATGCAGCAAGAGCACGTGCAAGGAAGAGTGGGCGCGACTCCGAGGTGAGAGCGACATTTCGCCACTTCGCGCGACGCTTCCCTGCCGCACGATATGCAGCGCCAACGAGGGAACATCACTGCTAAGAGGGACAGCGTGTACTTCATATTGTTTTTAGAGGTGTGTGGTGTGACCACCTCGATCTCGCCCTTCCGGGCTGGCTGGACGGCAGCATTATCGTAAATATCCATACGGAAAGGGACGTTTGCCCGTGTGGACACACTGTGAACTGTTGCATTGTGGATGTGTACGCTACGTAGTGTGACCCGTGAGGTATGATATCTGCGGTGCGAGGTGTGCGGTGCGAGCAATGTGGCGCATTATGGGTGGCATGATACATGTGGTGTCAGCATTGTTGCGTAAGTCATGTGGTACAATATCTGCTGTGCGACATGTTGGGTGAAAGCTAAGTAGGGTGGGCTATGCGGTGACATCCATGTGGTGCGGCGTATGTTGTGCAGTCGACGTGTTGCAACATATACAGTGCAACCAAGTTGGTGCGATGCATGTGCTGTAAGATTTGATAGGTGCGCTATGCGATGCAAGCTATGTGGTGCACCGTGTGCGGTATGAGCTATGTGGTGTGAGCTACATTGCGCAGTCCGTGTGGTGTGAGCTGGGTGTGAGCTATGAGGTGCAACGCAAACTCCGCGGCGCAATCTGCATGGTGCAGGCTATGCTGTGACCGACGTGTGATGCAAGCCGCGCTGGGCGGCCACGAGGTGGCCACGGGCGGCCACTGGGCGGCCACCAATACATCTCCTCCTCCTATTCCTCCTCCTCCTCCGCCTCCTCCTCCTCATCATCATCATCATCCTCCTCATTCCCCGCCCACTTCGTTAGTAAAACAAGCGAGAACCCATACGTGCAATCACCGTGTGGGGAATGAGGATCGGGAGGGCGAGAACGAGGGCCCTCGTGGGTATTCCCCAGCCCCTGATCCTCCATCTGTTCTCGCTGGTTCGTCCATTGTCCTGTTTCCCAATCTTCCCCCTTCCAAGATTCACTGTACATCCACATTTCTCCACATCCCTCCATACCCTCCCGTCTCTCTCCCTGTGTCCTCCGCGTGTACATCCTCTTCCTAGTCCTCATCTCGAACTCCATCCTTCTGTTCGTCCTCGTTGTTGTTCTTATCTCGTTCCTTGGCATCTTCCTCCTGCACGCCCGCCTCGTCCTACACCAGGTATGCTCCCTCGGCCTCGTCTCGTCTCCCTCGTGCTCCTCGCGCCCATCGTCCTCCTCAGTCCGCGTCCTCGTCCGCTTCGTCGTCCTCGTTGCCGCCCTCGTCCTCCTCCGCCCCGCTGCGATGTGGCGAGGTCCACGGCGCGTCCGGGCGATCCTCCGCCAGTGCCCGGGAGGGGGGGGGGTGGCGGCGGGCGGCGGGCGGCCCGCGCCACTGCCGACGACGAGGCGTCGGAGAGGGGAGGCGGGAGGGCCAGGAGCGTGGACGCCCGGCAGGAGATTTCCGCGCCAGGGGGGGGGCTCTGGGCAGGGGGGCGCGGGAGGTTGAGAAGGGGCGATCAGCGCCGCGCCTCTGCCGACGACGACGCGTCGAAACGGGGAGGCCAGAGGGCCAGGGATGCGGACGCCTCTGGAGACCGTTCGGCGCAAAGGGGGGGGTCGGGCCAGGGCGCGGGAGGAGGAAGAGGTGGAGGAGCATGAGAATGGGCAATGCGTTGGGCAAATTTCGCACTTGCTCTTTTCTCAGCGCCTCGGCTCTGCTCAGGATTTCGGGCCACAGGTCTGCCCACAGTCGTCGAGCACGAGCTCGGCCAGTGGGGGTCCGCCACCATCCTTTCGGGATGCGTAACTATACGACCATCCTCCGGGTGATAAGGAGGCGGCTATATGGAGGGGAATGGGGCAACGTCTCATTCAATGGATCTCACCACCGGTCTCAGTATCGATCTCATTACCGCTCCCACCATCGACCTCAGTAACGACCTCACTATCGATCCCTCTATATATCGATCTCACTCTACCGTCTAACTCTATCGATCTCACTCTAGCGATCTCACTATCGATCTCACTATTGATCTCACTCGATCTCACTATCGACGTCGGTACACGTGAAGAACGAACCATCGAAAACACACCAAGACACCAAAAGGGCACCAATCGGGACACCGACGTGACACCCACAGGACACCAACGGGACACAAACACGACACCCACGGCGGGACACCCAAGGGACATCAGCGGGACATCAACAGGACACCCAAGGAACTCCGACGAGACATAGGTGGGACACCGACGGGACATCCCCCGCCACCGCCGCGGACACCGACGGGACACAACGGCGGGACACCCCCGGCCACGCTGGCCCACTAGAGGGGTGGTCTTGTGTTTTGTCCGTCCCTAGCCACGGCGGGGTCATTCCTCTCGCCCGCCCACGCAGCTTCGTCTCGCCGGCACGCGCGACACGGGACGACGACCACGACAGAGGCGTTGGTGGCGACGACGACGCTGACATGTCAGTGATGCTTCGTATGGTCTCTTCGGAGCGCGCTCGTAGGCCTCTGGGGGGCAGTTTCGGGCCTCTTGGGAGCATCTTGGGGGCCTCTTGAGAGCCTCTTGGGGGTCTCTTCGGGCACCCTGGGGGCCTCTTGCGGGCCTCGTGGGGACCTCGTGGGGACTTCTTGGGGGCCTGGGAGCTTCTCGAGGCCGAGGTCTTGAAATGCGTTCGGGCTCCAGTGTGTGTGGGCACCCTCTTGGAGCCGTTTTGGTGGCGTCTTGGGCTGTCTGTGAGTCTTGTAGGGCCGTCTTGGTGCCCTCTTGGGTCGATTTGGAGCCGTCTTGGAAACCTCTTGGAGGCCTCTTGTGACGATCTTGGTGGCATCTTAGGCAGTCTTGGGGCGTTGAGAAGCTGAAAAGGCGAGAACGCCAGAACCTTTGAACCCCTCAAAGGAAATCACAGGATTTGGCCTGCTGGGGCACTATTGGTGTGCTCTTCGAGGCCCCTTTGGGCGTCTTGGAAGCCGCAGGGGCTGTCAGGAGGCCATCTTTGGCGTCTTTGACCGATGTTCCCGCGATTCGCTGTCCTCTTGGACCATCTTGGGGGCCTTTTAGGTTGTCTTGGGGCCCTTTGGGCCCCAGGACCCTGTGGGGGAGGATGGTATTCTGACCTGGGACCCTCCCCCCGCGAACTCCCCCAGGACCCCTCCCCAAGACCCCACCCCAGGGGGGAAGGGATCAAAGGGAAGGAGCGTCCCTTTGAGTCAACTACGACGTGCTCAATTTCAATTTGGTTTCGCTTTGGCTGGCTCGCTTAAGGAGGAGGGCCCAGTGAAAGGGGGGGAGCGGCGATGGGCCCAAGGAAAAGGGGGTCAAACGCGACGGCGACGGCGATGACGTCGAGTCAAACAGAACAGCGTCTTCGACACTACGACAGGGTCGGCGGTTGACGTGAAGCGTCTTCGAGGTACGAGAAGCGAGCTGGACGTTCCGCACCATGCTTTCAACGAACTAACGAAGAACTAGCTCGCGAGATGCCACTGGCTGCCTGCCTGCAAATCACGGGAGGCGCCTTCTCGGAACGAGAAGGTGATGGGGGTTTGTTGGGCCAAGCTTTTTGCGAACTAATTCAGAACTAACTCGCTAGAGACAACTGGTTGCGTGCCTGCCAATCACGGGAAGCACCTTCTCGGAACGAGAAGGTGGTGGGAGTTTGTTGGGCCATGCTTTCAACGAACGCTAGAGACAACTGGCTGCGTGCCTGCAATTTGTTTTTTTTGCTCGGCGGATCACGGGAAGCGCCTTCTCGGAACGAGAAGGTGATGGGCGTTTGTTAGGCCATGTTGTTAACGACCTAATGAAGAACTAACTAACATCTGGCTGCGGCGCCGCAAAACGCTTTTTGCTCGGCTGACTCCCCCCTAAACTGCCGTTTCGGTCGAGACATCCTGGAAACAATGAGATGTTGACGTCGTGTGTTTCAGACGCCTCGTGATACGTACGAGGCTCTCGGCCGATACATCCTCGAAAACACGAGCTACCGAGCTTGCTCGCGAAATCCAGCGAATCGTTGAAGATGGCAGTTTCGTTCGAGACATCCTCGAACAATTGACACGTTGAAGCTGTGTGGTTAAGACGCCTTCAGTTAAAAATGAGGCTCTCGCTAGAGACACCCTCAGAAAACTGCATTCGCAGCATCTTCGCTTGAGGTCCTGTCTCCTCCGTCTCTTCCGTCTCCTCCGTTTCTGAGGTCTCCTCCGTCTCCGGGTCTCTTCCGTCTCTACTCCGTCTTTGAGGTCTCCTCCGTCTCTCCTCCTTCTCCGTCTCCTCCGACATCCTCCTTCTCCTATTCCCCCCCCTCCTCCTCCTCCTCCTCCTTCTTCTCCTCCTCCTCCTCCTCCCTCCTCCTCCTCCTCGTCCTCCCCCTCCTCTCTTCTCCGTCTCTGAGGTCTCCTCCGTCTCTGAGGTCTCCTCCGTCTCTGAGGTCTCCTCCGTCTCTGAGGTCTCCTTCTTCTCCTCCGTCTCCTCCGTCATCCTCCTCCTCTTCCCCCTCGTCCTCCTCCTCCTCGTCCTCCTCCTCCTCTCTTCTCCGTCTCTGAGGCCTCATCCGTCTCTGAGGTCTCCTCCGTCTCTGAGGTCTCTTCCGTCTCTGCGGTCTCCTCCGTCTCTGAGGTCTCCTCCGTCTCTAAGTTTTCTGAGGTCTCCTCCATCTCCTCCGTCTCTGAGGTCTCCTCCGTCTTTGAGGTATCCTCCGTCTTCCTCCGTCTCCGTCTCCTCTTCCCCGCCTCTTCCCCCTGCTCCTCCTTCTCCTCCTCCTCCTCCTCCTCCTCCTCCTCCTCCTCCTCCCCGCCTCCTCCTGCTCCTGCTCCTCCTCCTCCCCCTCTTCTCTGCGGTCTCTGACGTCTCCTCCGTCCACATGTGGTTTGCCACTCATGTGTCCACATTTGGGTTGCAATCCACGTGTCCACATTTGGGCTGCCACCCGTGTGTCCACATGGTGGCAATCAAAATCTGGATAAATGGGTGGCAGGCCGCATGGGGATGTACGGGAGGCAACCCAACTGTGGACACATGAACATATTGGCGGTACGTAATTTCGACGTTTACACATGGACGGCCACCCTTCTCCTCCTTTTCCCCCGTAAACGGCCGTTTCGCTCGAGCCATCCTCGAACAATTGAGATGTTGTGACGTCGTGTGTTTCAGACGCCTTTTGTTAACAATGAGGATCTTGCTAGAGACATCCTCGAAAAACGAGCTACCGAGCTTGCTCGCGAAATCCAGCGACTCGGCAGTTGGGGGGTGGAGAGGTGGGTGGGTGAAGAGGTGGGGGGGTGGGGGGGGGGGGGGGGTGTTCAGGGGCCCCACCGTCGCCCCCATAACACATCCCGCTCGCACGCCGTACATCCCCCCCGCCCGTCGCCCCCATCCCAACGCACACACGCACACGCGCGCACACACATACGCATAGACGCACGCATGCGTACACACATACACAGGCCACGCACTACACTTGACCAAAGCAACCACAGCAATCACAAAGCCCAAGCTAGAAGCAGCAACCACCAGGGCCTCTAGGGAGTCTATGCAACTGCACCCCACTTGCGCATAGTTTGTCTGGGTGCGAGTCCATGCGCGCGTGCGAACGCGAGTTCAGAGAAGCTGCGCTTTCCGTTCTTGTCCGGAAAGGTTCCCCAAAATAACGAGTTCGCTAGAGACATCTTCCGAACATGGAGATGTTGGAGGCTATCGTTTAAGACGCTTTCTGTTAAAACTGACGTTTTCGCTCGAAACATCCTCAGAACATCGGGCCCGAGACATCCTCGAAACAATGACATGTTGGAAAAGCTGCGCTACTACCTATCATACAAAACATGGCGTTTTCGGTCGGGACATCCTCAGAAAATCGGGAGGGGTGCGGCAGACCGAAACAAAAGAGCACGGTAGAAACTGATAATTTCGCTGGGGGCATCCTTAAAACATGGGATGTTCTCAACATCGCCTCGACATCGTTCTCGAAGTGGTTCAATATGAAGAAATGAGAGCCCCAAAAGGAGCCCAAGATGGCTCCAACAGCGCCCTGGAGACTGCCGTCAATGACGATTTCGCTGGGGACATCCTCCAGCATCGTTTTGAAAACTGCTGTTCTAACATCGTCTTGCAATCGTTCCTGAAAGGCTTCCATGTGGTCTAAGCCAGCCTTCTAAACATAACGATTTCGCTAGGGACACCCTCAAACACACAATGTGTCTAACATCGCATTGCAATGATTTTTGGAGGACATCAAGGCGGCCCTAAAGGGCCCAAAATGAGCCCCAATATGGCCCTCAGGATCGCCCTCGAGACGACCCCCACCTGTGATTTCGCCTGAGACATCCTCACAACATTGCTATGT